CAACAGTGCCATTGTGAAGGAGCCACCAGCCTTCAGAGCGCCCAAAGTGCCTTGGCTCAGCTAGTCCCAGCCAACAGGACTTCAGGAGCTCCCGTTCCACACTGGGGCAGAGCCCGCCAGGGACCAGATTCTCTCATTCCTTCTCTCCTTCCTTAGGAGCAGCCCTGACTCTTTGTGGCCAGGGCACATTAATTAATTAATTAATTACACTTCCCAGGCTCCCTGGCAGTTAGAAGAGGACAGACAATCACATTCTGACCAAACAGACACAGAGTATGTGAGACTCCAAGGAGAATTCTTAACTAGACAGGCAAGTGATAATCCCTCCCTCTCACCCTTCTTCCCCTGGCCAGAATGCAGGTGTGAGAGCAGCCACTTTGGACCACGAGGCAACCTTCTGAGGATGGCAGATGGAGACAATGAAAGGAATGAGGTCCCTGGTACCATGGAGAATCATAACAGCTGTAGACTGCCTACCTTCAACACTTTCTGATGTGAGAGATAAATAAACTTCCAATTTGTCTAAGACGCTGTCATCTGGGGTTTCTATCTGGTGGACCTGAGTCCTGACACACACACACCTTTCTCTCTGAAAAGAGCAAAAGAAACAAACTTCCCTTGATCATGATGCCAACCAAAATTACAATGGCAGGCGACAACGGACAGTCTTCCTTTTCTGTTAAGGCCAGCGTCCTAGGCCAGAACTGGCTGCTAAATGCCACGGAAACACACTCCATCCCACCCACAAAATAACAACAACAACGCGAATTGCTTTCTCCTTATCTGAGCTCTCTGCAGAGTCTATGTGCCTGACTGGGCTTCTGGTAGCAAAGGCCAATATGGACCACAGGGGAGGGGTGATGGAGCACGGCCAGGAAGGGAGCTTCCAGAAGTATCACTCCTTCTGGTGATGGGCATCTGCTACCTTTCCTCTCTTGCCTGTATATTTTTCCTGAAGCTCTCCTCCCGTGGTCCCTGTAATTCTAGTAGAGATGTCAGCCAAACCTCATGGCCCTCCATCCCCAATCACCAGACTAGATAGTAACCTGGACTGGCCAATCAAGGAATTCTAATGCCCAGGGGAGCAATCAGTACAAGGATGGCCATGTGACCTAAGAAGGGCCAATTAGCGTTCTTTCGTTTAGCGGTTGAGATGCATGCTATGCTACGTGAAAAGGAATCTCTCTCCTCCTCAGTGTCATAAAGCTGGAGCCACTCAGGACTGTCTTGATGCCAGGTGGAGAAAGCTCGTCTAAGAAGGAAGCCAATGAATCCTGAGAATGTCTAGGATTTGTTGAGCGAGAGGGAGATGGTACCTTCACGGCTTGGTCTTAGCTCCTGGGTCCCACCATGCCTGAAGGAAACCCAGTCCCTCACCCCCTATCACGAGGAAGAACCCTTATTGTTCACTCCTGACACTACTGTCCTCCTGAAGGGGCATTTCATCACTGTGTCCTTCACTCTGTCTCTGCCCACCCCTCGCTCACTCTTCCCCAGGAGATGGGAACGCAGTGGGCTAACTGGTAAGTTGGGGAGAGAGATGGTCTGCATGGCTTAGCTCCTCTCTTTCATTTGAGGATCTGCCTGGCTGGAGGAACACACACTCTCTCTTCTGTGTTCTCGGTTTTTCAGGGCACGCCTGCCCGGGAGCCCGTGAGTGAGTACTTAGCTCAGTTCATGAGTACTGCCTTATGAGGCTCTCCTGGCCCTCAGACCTAATACCAACTGACCGAGGAGTCTTTATCCACACGGAAGGCGGCATTTTTATCCACTCCTCTATCCATCTTTCGTCTGCCGTCAAACTTGGGCCGGAAAGAGGGGTGTTAATTTGGGGGGACCTCAAATACCACTCATACAGCCAGGACTTCAAAGGTTCCTTTTTGCTTAGGCTGCATTGTCTAGCTCTTACAACCCAAGGGGTCCTGATCAATGCAACTTTCCTGACCCCAGTGACTGAAGCATTGCCCTATCACATTGCGTGTGCTAACATTTCATTTCTGTCAGTTAAATATCCCCCCTTTCTCACAGTGCAAGTTTGGGCTGTCTCCCCTACTTTTAGGTACTGGGGGCTTCTCCTCAACTGACAAGAGGGGCATCAATAAATGAGACCCAGCTGGAGCTAGGGATGGGGGCGGGGTGGGGTGGGAAAGCCTGGAAGGGGGCTGCTGTGGTGTGGATGGGTTGCGTCGATGGCCCCGGTTCATGACCTCCCGACGTGTGTGTCCTTTGCTCTGTAACTGCTACCCCCTCCCGCTCCGACTGTGGGTTTGACCACGGGAGTTACGTCGGCCAGAAGGATTTTAGCTGCTTTGAAGCTCGAGAACCCGCTCGTGTTTTCCACCTCCTCTCTGGGCTCTCTGCGCTCACGGTGAGAATCCGCCCGGGGCCCGGTCTGCTGGAGGATGAGCACGCGGCCCAGAGGTGAGGCCGGCCTGGATCCGCCAGCTGACCACCAGCCACACCGGACAACTTCTGCTAAGGCAAGAGGAACTGCAAGGTCAGGCCCTGTCAGGATGGACAGAACTTCACAGCCCGCTACAGACCTGGGGACGATAAATGCCATCGTCTTAAGCCGACGGGCTTCAAGGCGGTTTGCTCTGTGGTGTTGTCACAGTAGCTGACCGCTGCGGGACCCCTTCCCCCCAAATTACCAACAGACCAGACAAGGCGCATCTCCCATCGAGCCAGGCAACACAACGGACTGTGCTTTACTTGCGCTCAAGGCTTCCAGGGCCAGACTATCAGTGCCACCATGTGCAAGCTCCGTGTCCTTTGTCAACTTATCCCGTCTTCAGTTTTTTGTTTGTTTGTTTTGTTTTAAAACGAGAGTAATAATGTGATCTGCTTTCCACGGTTGAGAGGTTTTAAGGGTCTAATACATGTGAAGCGCTCAGGATGATAATAGTTCTCAACACAGATGAGCTACCAATGGGGACGTCCATCTCTCTTACCCTTCCCCTCGCCTCCTGGGGGGCTGGGATGCCGTCTTGGGTCCCCCACTCTCCCCATCACCTGGCAGAGTGCCAGCACAGTAAATACCTGTTGTTTGCGGAGTGTCTGGAGTGAAACCCCACTTTTATTGGCACAGATGCGAATTTCAAAATTCTCTTTCAACCTAGGCCAGCGTCTTTGTTCTTTGTATAAAGCACACATGTAATATTTATCATTTTTTTTAATAACTACACTTCTCCCTCCCTCCCTCCCTCCTGTGCTGTGAAGCAAACCTTTTAAGCCGTCTTCACTGTCTAGCACACACACTCACTGCCCATTCCAACCGTACGTAATTGATGCATTTCCTGCGGGTTCTTGCCGACGAGGCCAGGAGGGATGGGACTGGAGGGATCGTCACCTTCCACCGACCCCCAGCCTGGCTGCTTTTGGCACTAGGATCCCCCGGCTCTTTCTCAGCCACATTAGTGTCGCTCCAGAGCCTTCCCCATCTGACAATCAGCCGCCTCCTCTGCAGCCTGACTTCTGGATGGCTGGTCTCCCCACGGGCCCCATGGGAAGTCCCCTGGAACACGACCCCCTGATGCCCCTCTGAGCGTGAGTGGGGTGGGAGGAAAGTCTCCTCTGGTTCCAGTCCTTTTCCTGATGCTCACGGCTGTGGGATGGGGAGGGCCAGGGGCCCCTGACGGGGGACAGGCCTCAAGTTCCACCCCCACCGTATGCACGGAACCGTGAGATCATGACCTGAGCCAAAACCAGGAGTCAGACGCTTACCGACTAAGCCACCCATGTGCTCCCCCTCACCACAATCATATTTTTAAAGGCCTCTAGAAACCAAAAACCAAGAACCACAGCCTTGGGCAGATCACCTCAGCCCTGTAAGCCTCAGTTCCTTTGCCTAAACAGTGAAGGTAATAATAATATCTCCTGATGTCATGTTTTTACAGGAATGCCGTAAATGAGAAAATGGATCCCAGCCACAAACTGCTAGGCAACTGGAGGCAATTGTTAATATCTGGTTTGTTAATTCAGAAAATACTGAGGCTGTGTGGATTTTAAAAAGGATTGCACAAATTGTATTAAGTAAAGGCTACGTAATTCTCAGTTTTTTTCTTGGACGTGGACACTAGTGAAATTTAGATCAGAGGACAGGGTACGGATAAGGAAAGGGACCGAGTTCTCAGAATGACAGCAAAGGCTCCTGCAAACCTTATATATATCATGTAATTTCATCACCCTTATGACAAGCCCAGAGGGAGGTTCCTATCGTTTCCTTCCACAGATGAAGGTTAGAAGACCAGGTCAGGCGGCAGAGCTGGGGACGGGAGGGCAGCCCTGGTGCACCCAGCCCCTCCTGCTTAATGGGGGTGTCGTCAATGTCTCCTTTTACAAGAAGACGGGGGTGTTCATTCTACGTTGTCTGTGTCTGGGCAAAATGGTTTTGCCTTTCCGGGGCGCTGGGGAACGCCTCTGATTCTGAATGCTTTGCATCCGACCCGGCACCTCACCGTTCAGGAGCTTTATGGACTTTAAGGACAGCGAACTAAGACCAGTCCCAAGCCCCATCGTGGATGTCCTATTTCTCTCCTGTAAAGTGAACATGCTCTGTCTCCCTCGCAGGCTGCTGGCACCCAGCCCCGTGCTGGCGGGACACGGGTGCTCCTTCTGCACTTGCGTATTTCCTTTCCTTGGGAATGTTAGGACAGCAGAACCCGGGAGTGAGGAAGAGAGGAGGGGTGAGGAGAGAGCCAAGAAAGGCCTAAACCGCTAAGAAGTCAGGCTGTCTCTGAGATTGGGACCAATGGGGAGACAGACACCGCCCAGAAGCGAGCAGACCTGGGTCTTATCCTTCTCTGTCTTGGGTTTTCCAGCTTCCCTGTGTGATGTGCGTCCCCGCTGCGGGCTGCCGGGAGGATGAATCAATACAGGGTGTCCAGAGGCACCCAGCACAGTGCCTGCAGAGAGGAATGGCCCCAGGTCCCAGTGCGCCCTGCAGCGCTGACCCCCATGAACAGGCTGGAGCTATGCAGGAAAGGCCACAGGTCCCCTACCTTTCTCGGCTCCGGCCTGGTTGTGCTTCTCAAAGAGCAGGTAGCGGGGGCTCTCGGGGAGAAAAGGCAGGGTCACCAGCTGGACCAAGGCAGGGACAGCGATCACTCCAAACAGGTATGGCCAGGTGCTCTCCTGAAGGGAGAAAGAAGAGGCCAATGAATGGATGTGGCCTTCAGTCATCTGGCTGCGGGTGGGCCCCTGGGCCAAGCGGTGTCAGCTCTGTGCAGAAGACCTTCCAGCACCAGTGGGATCCCCACCAACAAAGGCCGAGAGAGGGAACGGACGCTGGTTTAGCACCAGCCCCACGTGTCTGGCATTGTCCACGCACGAGGTCGGTCCATTCTCAGAACCACCTGTGAGGTGGTGACCTGTGGGATTCAGGGGGACCAAGACCACTCAGGGATATCAGAGCTGACCAATGCCAGGACTCTGGGAGGGCATCATGGTGAGCCTGAACGGGCTCCACTCCTTCCTGGTCGTGTGGCCCTGTAAACCATGCTCGTGGTCCCTCGAAATCTCTGTCTCTTCACCTGTGGGACGGGGACAGCCACAGCCACCTTGCAGCTTGTCCCGAGAGTGCAATCGGATAGCACTTGGGCTGTGGGGCCTGGTGCACAGCAGGTGCACAGAAGAAACTGCTGTCTCCATTGATGCCAGTCCCCAGATGCCTCCCAGGCTGGAGAGACCCCACCCAGGCTGGTCCTGTCCCAGGACACGGGGAAGGTAGTGGCTGGAGCTTCCCTGATTCCCGCGGGTGAGCGTGGTGGGGCTGGCGGGGATTCTTCTCGGTCCGGGGCCAGGGAAAGCAGGCAGGGCCCTACAGCCTGAGCTACACAAGGGGCATCTGGGCCACTGGGAGCAGCGCCAGTCGTCTTAACGCTGCTGAAGCACAGCAGCGGCTGTTCCTAGGTGATTAAGGCAGCTTCTTCCTGAGCCGCTTTGTTTTTCAACTCCAGTTTACCAAGGAAGCTCTCCCCATGCCTCTGCTGGAATAGAATGCCAATGGGAGGCAGTTCTGATGGAGAGAAAGCAAAATGCTCAATGCCAAATTCTTGACATGCTTTATTTCCTCAGAAAGAGAAAGGAGACCAGCAAGGAGGCACGTTCAGACCTGAAGAGACTTTGCAAGATGGGCCAAGGGCGGCTCAGCCGGCTTCAGGTCAGGTCCTACTGGAAGCATGTCCCTGGGGTCCCGAGCACCCTCGGGGACAGAATCCCCTCTAGTGTTCTCCCAGGGCTGGCTCCCTACAGAGGCCCTTGAGGCCAGAGGCCCCGGTAAGTTCTCAGTCCCCGAATCACAAGAGGGTGCAGCAGGCGGGGTCCCCTGGAGCACAGAGCAGGCCAAGTGGCTGGAGAAGGACTATGACCAGGTCCTGATCTTCAAGGGACCTTCGATCCTACTGCTCTCTCTGTGTAAAATAGCAATTTATGTTCACAAAACTCCTCTGATGTCACCACCGCCCTGAGGGAACCTCCAGGCCAATGTCAGCTCTGGGTTTGGTGAGAACTCGGGGTGAGAGACAAGACCGGGTTGGGGGTGGGGCAAAAGGCAGACTAGTGGTGATGGGAGGGGGGGAAGGGGAGGGCTGCCAGAGGGAGCTGGGATGGTCAGGGACTGCCCACAGGTATGGGCTTCCAATATTTTGGATTAGAAAAGAGCCACGGCCTTGCAACTTTGTGAACACACTAAAAACTACTTTAAAAGGATGGATTTTACAGTAGGTGAGTTATATCTCAAGTTTTTTGAAAGACCAAGGAACAAAGAAAAATGATGTACACATAAGTAGAATTTTGGCTATGCCTTTTTTGGTGTATGTTGTTGTTGATTCTGTTTTTTCTTCGAGCTTACCTGCTGTCTCAGTAACAGCAAACACAGAAAGCTTGTGGGGGGGAGGGCAGGTGCGGTGGGAAGACAGGGGAATTAACCCAATTAAGCTCCTGTTAATGTGCCAGGCGTGGCGTGGGCTTGTCACACAATTGTCTCATTTCGCCTCCCAGCAGCCAGAGAGGCCAGAGCTGTTGCTGCACGTTCGAGATGTGAAGACAGAAAAGCCCACACGGAGGCCTGGCAGCCAGGAGGTGCAGAGAAGGAAGTAGCCAAGCCCTTCCCCTAGCATCTAAAGAGAGGGGACCCTCCAGGGTAAGATCCTTGGAGCTGCGGAAGGGTGGAAGAAGAGGAGCTGGAAGGGCAGATCTGGAGTAGGAATAGCACATACGACTGTGCAGAGGCCTGATTCACCCAGATTCACTGGGAAACAAGAACCGCAGTGGGAATGTAGGGCCAGGGGATGCTAGAGACACGGGAGTACAGACACTGGAGGCTGGTCATGGGTGGTCTGCAGCCATTCCATGGCACTTGGACGTGGCTCTGAGGACATCCAGGAGCTGTGCAAGGGTCTGCACACCCAAATGGGATGCACACCCTCCACTTCCTTGCGTCTACAGTCCGGCATTTCTGCCATGCTGTCAGTGAGTGCACAGAATGGATTTCTAGTATTACTGACAAGCCAAGTCTCTGGTATAGCCTGTGATCTGTGATGTCGTAAATGGAAGGACGTGTAGAATCTTTCCTAAGGACATCACTCTGGTGGCTGTGCTCTGGTGTCTACCTCCAGAGAAAAGCAGGTATTACTGACCTCAGGGCGGGTGACCCCTAGCTTGGGATGCTAACAGTGTTTGGAGCGGGGAAGGAGAATGGCAGGAATATTCAGAGTAGAGCTCGGGCGACATTTTACTCAGGGAGGGCCGAGCTTAGCCAACAATGGAGTTCATGAACTCAGTGCCTACAAAATCCCAAATCCCATAGCCGTCTGACCTTGAATTCTGCCTCGATCCCCAGTTCTCTGTGGCCCTTGGCAACCTGACTGCTTATGCTTCAGTCTTCCTGTCTGTACAATGGGGATAACACTAATGCCTCTTCACAGGTTGTCAGGAGGGTTACGTGAGCTAATAGATTTATCAAGTGCTCAGCACAGGACCCTGTGCGCTGCAAGCATTCAACACACAAGAGTGGTCTTTATCATGAACTGTGGTGAGAAGCACATTACATAGATTATCTCCCTGAATTTCCACAATAGCCCTCTGAGGTACAGACCAGGATCACGCTCATGTTACAGAAATATTCACTGTAGCACAGAGAGGTTAAGTGGTTCATCGGAGCCACAATTCCATCACAGAGCCATGACTAAACAATAGGTCTTGGGCCCAAGAATCTAAGTTCTAATCCATGAAG